TGTAGCCTAATCAATTATAATTAAAATTCTTTATATTTATTCATTAACTGTATTTTAACTTGACTATAGCTTCCTGCTAGTGGTGATAAACTTATAAATAACTTAATATAATGTATCACAGGATTTCGTAAACCAATGCCACAAGAAAGTTCTAATGTGTATCAAAGCCAGCAAATAACTCTATATTATTATACACATTATTAAGTCCAAGATCAAGATGAAAACAGCAAAGAACTAATTGGCGAAGTCAATAATTCTCAAAACTATTAACAGTATTCCGTAACCCATTGCTTCCAGTGAGAAAGTAAAAATATAGTGATTGCCTAGCCTTCAATGCTATTCATTTCTTAATTTGACTTAGTGGACTTAGGTGCAATATAGGGCAGCCATTTTTAGGAAAGGCTCCCCATTTCCATAACTAACCAGCCATTTTCAGATATGTCCAGTCATTTTCAGAAAAGGAAATGGCTGATATGATCAATAATGATAGTATAATAATTTAATCACTTTTATAGTGCTATTTACATACACTGATCAATAAAACTCTACAAAATAATTTATTGAAGATAAAGTAGGAAAAATATAAAGTTATTAATAAACAGGAAGTAAAAAAAAGAAATACATTAAAAATATCTGACAACTCTAAAGAATGATTCAAAGCACACAGCTTCTAGAATGCCACTCATTAGATAATGACACATCTGATGGATTGTTGTCCATCATCAGAACAACCAAGGGCAAATAAATCACTATTGGACAGTGGAGGGTGTATTCAGTTTTATTTACAATATCCACACTGTGGGGCACTCTCAAAAATAATGGGTGAGGGTGTGCATTGAGCTTCTTGATAACCTTACCCTATTCAAGACCAAAAGTTGTGATTTTCCCTACTCTATTGAAAAACAGACCCAAAATTCAATGCCCTATTTCAGACCTGCCCCTCCTAAAAACATCCTGAATCCATACCAAACTACGCACCTAATTCAAGATCATAATGCACAAGCATACCCTATTTACACCC